GAGGATGACACTCTGCCGAGCCACCGTTCAGAGCGTCCCAGAATCGCTCTGCAACGGCCGCGCCCGACACGTCCTCCCGAGCCGCCGGATCTCAGAGGTCCCCGATGCGTCCCTGCCCAGGCGGCTGTCCGCGGACGATCCGGGCGCCAGGCACCCCAGGAGCGCTCCCGGCCAGGCGCAGCCTGGCTGGAAGGCATCCCGAGGCCGGAAGGCCGCCGGTGACCCACGAGAGCGCCCGAGATCCCAGCCCACCTCGAGACCTCGAAACGCTGCCCCTTACCTCTTCCTCCTCCTCCTCCTCCTCCTCCTCCTGCCGACGGTCTCCGTCTCCGTGGACAGCGCCAGGCTGCTCGCTGTACGTCGGGCATGTCCCTCTACAGGCGGAATATTCCAGAATCGCAAAGAGTAGCCTGGGGGCTATTCTTTTCCGTGCTGCCTTCGCTGCTTTTCTGTGATTATTGTCTGGCGATGTTTCATGCTTTCTTCCAAAACCCGCCTGTAGGAGGACATGCCCGACCTGATGCTCGCCCTGCCGCTCGCCTTAGCTCGGGCACGTCCCCTGCAGGGGGGTTTTGGGCGGAAAACTGAAAAACACCCCGAACAAATCCCAAAAATGTTCAACGATAGTCAAACATCGTCCCCATTTTCTGTTTGTTTGTTTCGCTTTTCCCCTCCTGTAGAGGGACAGGCTCGACCTCGCGCTCGCCGTGCGGCGCCCTCGGCGGCCCTGCCGCCGCCCGCCGTGCCGCGCGCCCCCGGCGGCCGCCGAGCGAGGGCCGTGCCCGCGCCCCGCGGGCGCAGCGCCTGCGGCGCGCGCGCGCGCGCGGTGCTCGCGCCTCGCCCGCGTGGCCCCCGCCCGCGCGGTGCGCGCACCGCGGGGCCGAGCTGCACACCGCCACGGCCCGGGGTCCCGTCGCGACCCGATCCGATCGCTCCGGTCCGAGAGCTCCAGGCCTCCGAGATTTCTCGGGCCGGTCGAAAGGGGGGGATTGGGAAAGGGGGGGGTACGAAATTTGCTGCATGCAGCTGGTTTCGGCCTCACCGAGGGGCCCATTCCTCGATACATAGCCGCCTCCCGGCGCCGGGAGGCGCCGGGAAAATCAGCTACGTGAGCTGATTCTCAAACCCCCCCTTTGCTATCCCCCCCTTTCGACCGACTCGAATTTCGGGGGCGGCAGAGAGGGGGGTGATGACTAGGGGGGGGGGGTAGATATCATGGCGTGGATGTTTCCCCAGATTTCATGGCCCTCCTTGTATTTCGGTACGTCCCTGGCCCTCCCCCCTTGGGCCGCGCACATGCCGCCGGCCATGATTTGCGCCCCTCCCCCTCGTGGACGCCTCCCTCTTGGCCGCCCCCGATAGTTGGGTTCTGAGTCGATGGGGTCGGAGGATCGCGCCACGTCGCCGATGTATCGCCGATGCGGCTCGACGGGGAGCCCGATTTGCTTCACGTCGGCGTCGCCGAATGCGATACATCGCCGACGGCGACGATGCATCGCCAGTGCATCGCCGATACCGATCCTCCGACCCCATCTACTCCGACCCCATTTAGGAGGCCTCTAATATTCTCGATGCCGGCCGATCCGATCCGATTCTCGTTTCCTATCATCAAATCGGCCTGTCCCTCTACAGGTGGAATATGTAATTATAGTCCACAAAAATAGAGTGGTGGCGTGTTTTCGATTGGCTTTTGACCTTTTTGAGTATTTTTGAGTATTTGATGGACTATTCTTCAATTTTTCTTCCAAAGGCTGCCTGTAGGAGGACATGCCCGACCTACTCCTATCATCTGGCGATCTGGTGCGGCCCAGTGCTTCCATGGCGCTGCTGCGCATCCTGGCGCGGCCGATGCGATTCGACCCGGGCTCCGTGCCGAAGCGGCCCGATCCGGCGCAAGTTCCGATTCGAGCCGATTTCCCGATGCGATGTTGACCGATCTTGCCACCCACCCCGCACTGTGCGTCTCGATGCGCTTCGCACGCGCTCGACGAAGGCCCAAGAGGGCCCAAGGTGGCCCCCAGAGGCCGCAAGATTGTCCTGAGAGGACTCCACAACGGCTCGTGCTGGCAAACTTGTCTCTCTGCGTCCTCTTCAGCTGTTGGGCTTTTGGGGAGGAGGAGGAGGAGGAGGAGGAGGAGGAGGAGGAGGAGGAGGAGGAGGAGGAGGAGGAGGAGGAGGAGGACTATCGAGAAATAGGCTTGGGGAGGAGAAACCGCCAGTTCCTGGGCAGGCGCCGAGGCTTCCGGGGGGCCGCGCCGTGCACAATCTCGCGGCCCTGGCGGCCTGGGACGTGGGTGCCACCACCCACAAAAACCACCCCAACCCAACCCGAAGATCTCAATTTGCCCTCCATTTTCGGTGGAGGGGGGTCGGGGAACATCGAAAAAACATATGATATGGAGCCCATACCCCCCCCCAACCCAAAATTCGGGTCTTCGGGCTGGGTTGGGGTGGTCTGGTAGGTAGTCAGGCTGGGGGCGCGTGGGGCGAGGCGCGCTGGCCATCTGCTTGGGGGAGAGGTCCCCGGAGAGCCTCTCGCGCCCCTCCCCGGGGCTCTGGCTGCGCCGTGCGCGCCGGTTCCTTCGGCAGGCCCTCGTGGGGCCTCTGGGGGGGCCGGGCCTCGTGGCCGTGGCTGGCCGCAGCTCGGACGCCTGCCCGTGTCCGAGAGGGATCGGGGGACCGAGTTGGGAGAGAGACACGCCCTTGTCGTTCTTTTTCCGACGCGCAGGAACCTCCGAAACGACGACGTCGTCGCCGCCCGTCCTCGATCCTCCTCCTCCTCCTCCTCCTCCTCCTCCTCCTCCTCCTCCTGCTCCAGCGCTATCAAAGTCGTCGGCGGCGCCGACGACGACCCTTTTCGATAGCTTCAGGGAGGCCGACGACGGACGTCGGACGCCGCCGACGACGCTGGCGGCTGGCCTCCTCGTCGGCGTCTGCCGTCTGTTGAGCGTCCGCCGTTTTTCGTCGACCCCAGACCCCCGATCTCCGGCGGTTTTCTACTGTGGAGACCTCTGCCGAGAAACACCCTGCTTGCCTCCAAGGTGCCCCAGGCTTCTTGGGTTTCGATGGTTCTGCTGTGGAAGGCGCGATGTTCCCGCACTAAAATCAATGGACGTCCTGGGGTCTCAGGGTTGGGCTTCTTCTGGAAGGTTTCTTGTGGTCGGGCCTCCACTGTCGTTCGCTGGTCGGTACGATCGAAAGGGGGGGTGCGGAAGGAACTGGTACGAGGACCGACAGCAGTTCCTGCCCATGCTGAGCAGGGTTCGCTGTCGGCGTCGCTGCGGACGTGCTCCACTTGAGCGACAGAAGGCCGCCCGCTCCACCGCGGCCGCTGCCGGTGTTGGACAACAGCTTGTTGCCGGGCATCGTGCCCACTCTCTTCGTGCGTGGAGTGTCCATCTCGGGGCGTCCAGATCTGGGGGCCGTCGCCGGGCCCGGGGGACCACCAATACACGAGACTCGGGCGGGGAAGGGTTCGGCAGCTCTGTGGCTGCGCACTGGAAAAGCGTCGTGCCGAGTCGGGTGTCTTGGCCCTCGCGTCTTGAGCAAAAGAAAGCACGGCGGGCGGTGCTTTCTGCTATTCTCTCGGCCTCTGGGCACCCACGCCGGGCCCGAGAACTCCTGGCCGGAACGATTCACGACTCTGGGTTTCAGTCGGGCCTGTCCCTCTACAGGGGGACAAATTCAAAAATAGTTTAATTAGCCTGGCGAAGGACCCTACCATACGCAGTTGTGAATACCGCAATTGTGAATACCATCTTCGCCCGCGCTCCCTATGTAGCCACGGCTCCCCGCCGGGGCCCGACATGCTCAGGGACACGTTCGTGGCCGTTTTCGCGGGCGCCGACGACGACGAGGACGGCGTCCCCCTGACCGAGGAGCAGAAGCAGGAGAGGGCTCTGAGAGCCATGAAGGATGCTGCCACGGGCGACATCGGTGGGGCTCCCATGGGGCCACGATCCTCGTGAGGGGTGTGCCGAAATGGCCCAAGGCCGCCATGCGAACCCTGACACTGGGGCTTTCGGTGGAGCTCCCTATGGGGCCACGAAACGTGTGAGGGGTGTACAGACATGGGGCAACACCGACATGCCGAACCTGCCGCTGCGGCATTCGGTGGTGCCGCCTCAGACCACGAAGCGTGCGAGGGGTGTGCCGAAATGGAGGATGGAACCGCGTGCGAACGCAGCCACTGGGGCCTTCGGTTGAGTTCCCTGTGGGGCCACGAAACGTGTGAGGGGTGTGCCGACATGGGGGGTGGGACCGCATGCGAACGCAGCCACCGGGGCCTTCGGTGGAGCTCCCTATGGGGCCACGAAACGTTTGAGGGGTGTGCCGAAATGGGGGGTGGAACCGCAGGCGAACGCAGCCACTGGGGCCTTCCGTGGAGCTCCCTAAGGGGCCACGAAACGTGTGAGGGGTGTGCCAAAATGGGGGGTGGACCGCATGCGCCGCAAAAGCGAACGCAGCCACTGGGGCCTTCGGTGGAGCTCCCTATGGGGCCACGAAGCGTGTGAGGGGTGTGCCGACAATGGGGGGTGGAACCGCATGCGCCGCAAAAGTGAACGCAGCCACTGGGGCCCGTCGGTGGGCTCCCTGGGGCCACGAAAGCGTGTGAGGGGTGTGCCGACATGTCGGGTGGAACTGCATGCGCCGCACAAGCGAACGCAACCACTGGGACCTTTGGTGGAGCTCCATATGGGGCCACGAAACGTGTGAGGGGTGTACCGAAATGGGGGGTGGAACCGCATGCGCCGCAAAAGCGAACGCAGCCGCTGGGGCCTTCGGTGGAGCTCCCTATGGGGCCACGAAGCGTGTGAGGGGTGCGCCGACATGGGGGGTGGAACCGCATGCGCCGCAAAAGCGAACGCAGCCACTGGGGCCGTCGGTGGAGCTCCCTATGGGGCCACGAAACGTGTGAGGGGTGTGCCGACATGGGGGGGTGGAACTGCATGTGCCGCAAAAGCGAACTCAGCCACTGGGACCTTCGGTGGAGCTCCCTATGGGGCCACGAGGCGTGTGAGGGTGTGCCGAAATGGGGGGTGGAACCGCATGCGCCGCAAAACGAACGCAGCCACTGGGGCCTTCGGTGGAGCTCCCTATGGGGCCACGAAGCGTGTGAGGGGTGTGCCGACATGGGGGGTGGAACCGCATGCGCCGCAAAAGCGAACGCAGCCACTGGGGCCTTCCGTGGAGCTCCCTAAGGGGCCACGAAACGTGTGAGGGGTGTGCCAAAATGGGGGGTGGAACCGCATGCGCCGCAAAAGCGAACGCAGCCACCGGGGCCTTCGGTGGAGCTCCCTACGGGGCCACGAAACGTGTGAGGGGTGTGCCGAAATGGGGGGTGGAACCGCATGCGCCGCAAAAGCGAACGCAGCCAGTGGGGCCGTCGGTGGAGCTCCCAATGGGGCAACGACGTGTGTGAGGGTGTACCGAAATGGGTGTGGGAGGGGGAGGAGGGGGGAGGAGGGAGGGAGGAAGGAGGCAGGAACGCGGGGCACCGTCTCTTCAAAACGAGGACCCAACACCACAGGATGGTGGGGAAAAGTAGTTGCGGACGATTTTTCCAGTTGTTTTTGACAATGTTGGAGCATTTCCGGGGTACTGTTTAGTTTTTCGTCCAGAATCCGCCTGAAGGGGGACATGCCCGACGTAACTCTGGGTGAGAAGCTGGTCCCTGGGAAGGGGTCCAGACCTGCTGGGGGGCCACGGCGTGAACAAAACCACTCCTTCGGGGGCCCGGGTTCGTCCCCAGACCAGCAGTGTCGACCCTCCGAGGGCGCGCGACCCCCTCCCCTGGGACCGGTCTCGCATCCCGGGCCGGTCCTTGACGGCCCCCGGGGCCCGCGGAGGGCCCCGAGGGGCCGCAAACGGCCAACAACCTTCCGCTGCATATTTTTTTCCCGGCCCGAGGGATTCGGTCGCCGCCCGGTCGCCGCCCGGTCGCCGCCGCCGCTCAGTCGGTCGCCGTCGGCTGGCGGTCTTCAGGCGCTCGGCCGCCGCTCGGTCCGTCGCCGCTCAGTCGGCAGTGAAAGCCGTCGGCCGCCGCCCAGTCGGTCGCCGCCGCCGGTCGGCCGCCCAGGCCGCCGAGGCCTCGCCCCCGCCGTCGGGGCGGGGCCTCGGCGCGGCGGCCTCGGCGCCTCCGGCGGCCCCCGCCGCGGAGGACCGTTCGGGCTGCCCCTCTCGGCGCGGGAACGCCAGGGCGAGGCCGCGGCACCGGGGGCCCCGTTTCGGGGGCACCGGTTATCAGGAGGGGAGGAACACACAGAGACACAAGTCATCGTCGACTCCCAGGAAAAGATGGGGAAGTGTGGAAAGTGGGGGGGAAGGCGAAAACCCAGAAACTCAGAGAAACTATAGGGGATCCTGGGATTTGCGTGTGTTTTTATCTGTGTGTCCCTGGGCCCCGTTAGATTAGGGGGGACAGGCTTAAGTTGGGCGAGTCCCTCTACAGGAGGAATGTTCCAAAATAGTTAAAAAAGAGTGTGGGGACGGTTCGTCCTGGGATGGAGCACCGGTCCCGTGGATGGGGGCCTGGGATGGAGCACCGGTCCCGTGGAAAGGGGGTCGAGACCTCTGGGGTTCTACATTGTGAAACAGATCGTGACGTTGTTTCTTTGGCCGTTTCCGGCCTCTGCTTGATTGCCCGCGCTGGTTGGCAAGGGGATGGGGTGCTTACAGAGAGCCCGTGTAACTTACAACGGACTTGCATCGTGTTCATAAGTCGCCCATCTTGGCCATCTCCACCATCATCCACCCTTCACGTCATACATTCGAATACACAACCTGGAGATCATGGCTTGACACGGGGAGGGCTTAATAATCACGATCGTTTTGTACGTATACGTTGCTTGCCGAGGAGGAGGAGGCGGAGGGAAAGGAGAAGAGAGGAGAGGAGATGTGGAGGAGGAAGGTTCTCGATATAGGCTCCCATGCTACTGTGCAACTGCCGACGTTTGGCTCAAGTAACCCCATCCTTCGAATAAGCAAGCATCCCCCCCTTAACTGGTGTATCCTTTTATCCACGGGATTGAACGTGGTCCAATTGCCACAGCAGGCTGGCAGGCCGAGCTTTAGTAGTATCCCCTTCAAAGTTCCCATGGTAGCTCTGATCTTCATCTCAGGCATAGCAGCATGAACACCGTTCTAGAGAAGCAGGGAGGGAGGAACACCGGAGGGAAGGCACATACATCCTGGACGAAGACGAGATCACCAAGTTAGACGAAGGCCTGTGGCACATCTTCGCTCAGAAGCTAGAATGCATTGAAGCGCGAGGCAAACTGATTGCGTACACGAAGATATACAAGTGGTACTCCGCAGGTAACCGAAGCAACCCAATCAGCTAAGGTGAGATCGGCAATGGACCCTGAGGAGCCAAACAAGGTGAGCGGCGCGTCAGTTCAACTCGAGCAGTGGAGCGCGCTAGTGGGAAATTCAGAAAATATGTTGAAATTGCAAATGGTCCCCCTTCCCAGTCAAGATAAGGGCACTATAAACCATCTACACTCACGAAGCAGAAAGAAGGGTTCGACGATTGGCGGCAAGACTGCTTCAAGGCGCCCGATTCGCTAACCATCGTGGCTTACCAAACTGTGTCCCTAAGGTGCGAAGGTAGGGCACGCGAGAAACGATTGGACGCCGAAATTAAGGCGAGCGGCTCGTTCCCCGGTTGAACGACTCGTTTCTCGGTTGTTCGACTCGTTCCCCGGCGGAAGTAACACCAGTTCGACAGAACTCGTTCCCCGGCGGAGCTCATAATGAACATCGTTTTGCTATGGTGTCGTAGCGACCATAAACACGTGTTCAACCCTTACACGTAGTCGCTTACGTTGCCGCCGAAACAACATGAATTCGACCGGGGAACGAGTTCGTCAGACATGTTGTTGTATTAATGTGAGTGGCAATGGCTTTGCTACGACTGGGACGTTGGCGACGCAACGCAGGTCCACGTCAACTGTGTGCCTGAGCTCGAGGAGCGGGAGTGCATCAATTTGGTCACCACTTAGCTCGGTCTGGCAGGGTAACGCCGCCATTTTAGCCATGAGGTGGTCTACAGTGGTTCGATAATCAATGATGATGATGGAGTCATCGAAAGGGGCGTGGTTGCAGTCAGGTTTCTAGCCTGAGAGCTGGCGAAGGAGTTCATCGGCGTCGGTGCTGGCCTGGGAGGGTTCTACACTAGTTTTGCCGCCGCCGTCAGGAGGCCTCGCGCGCGCGGAACCGAGTTGATGGGTGTGCCTGTGTTGACCTGGCACCGAACGACGCTGACCGTTATCATGTGTAGGCAAGACGCCTTCAGGCATATGTGCACCTCGAGGGCTGATGACTAGGTGCGCTGGTATCCCCTAACCTTGGTGCCGCCTGGAGGAGAGAACGCATTGGCAGGCCCAAACCTTCGAGTGGCTGTCACCTGTGGGCAACTAGCTAGATATGGGCGGTCGACGCTCACTCGGGGTGTATGTGTTTGTATGTGTGTGCGAAGAGAAGGTGGTCAATTGTAACCAGAGATGGATTGCGCCGACCCTGAGACACCCCGAATCCACGTACTCGGAGGCACCCATCATATGTAGCGGGAATGACAAGCAGTCCGCCAGCAAGAAGCCCATGAAGGATCACGAGGAGGCCAGTGGAGCGTGGCACGACAGCGACGAGGAATATCACGCTTGGGATGACGACCGCTTCGTGGAGGACGACGCGGGGGCGCGCATGATGACCAGGAGACGCAACCGCGAGTATGAGTACGCGCGCGCTGGCGCAGCCAAGGGCCAAGGGAAGGGTAAACGGCCGAGGTAGTCATCCACCAGGGCAGGTAGGACGCGGGTGACGATGAGCCATCGGACAATTTCCCTCTTTTTTCCTCTCCAGGGTCTGTTGCAAGTTTAGCCAGAAATGTGCTCCGAAGGAATTTTTATGACAGGGCCGTTGTGGCAAATAAGCGAACACGTATAGCGGAACACCAGGCATATTTCTAGCCACCTTTTGTACCGCTCTGTCATTTGCGCCGTGCGTAACATTGAATTAAGTGCTTACCCAGCGCGTGCTACACTTGATGCCGCGTGCGTGCTAAGCAGAGGTTTGCTCAGATGGCACATGGCTCGGCTTTCATGCCACCCACTCGCCGTAGCCATTGACAGCCCGCAAATTAGTATAACTTTGCACGTTGTCTGCCCGACTTGGCACTAGGTTGTTGGGAGGTGTTTCGGTATAGGCTCCGCTATGGCACTGTGTAGCTGCCAACTTTGGCTCAAATATGTGTTACCACCGTCAGGCGGTGTGCTACAGTTGTGTACTGTAGCATCTGCCCGCTTCCTGTGACATAGAGATCAATCCTCACTCGCACCGTTTTGATGAACTTACATGAGGGGGAGGAGGAGGAGGAGGAGGAGGAGGAGGAGGAGGAGGAGGAGGAGGAGGAGGAGGAGGAGGAGGAGGAGGAGGAGGAGGAGGAGGAGAAGAGGAGTATGATGAGGAGGAGGGGGAGGAGGAGAAGGAGAGGAGGAGGAGAGGGAAGAGGGGGGGATGAGGGGGACGACGACGAGGAGGAGGAGGAGGAGGAGGAGGAGGAGGAGGAGGAGGGGGAGGAAGAGGAGGAAGAGGAGGAGGATGGGGACGAGGATGAGAGGGAGGAGGAGGAGGAGGAGGAGGAGGAGGAGGAGGAAGAGAAGGACGAGGAAGAAAAGGATGAGGATGATGAGGACGGGGGAGGGATGGAGGGAGGCAGGGAGGGACGGAGGGCGGGAGGAGGAGGAGGAGGAGGAGGAGGAGGAGGAGGAATAATACGAGTAATCTGAGTAGTAACAATAATAGTCATCGGAGTAGTGGTAACATTGTTGTTTAGGACAATACGATTCAACAATTAGTCATCGTACTACTAATACGAATACATCGGACGAGGAATATTTCGAGTACTCGTATTAACGATGAGTACGGTTAACAACAAGACAACAAATCAGAAGCATATGAGTATTGCGAAGGTAGTACTAGTAAATAGTATCATAATCATAGGAACACTACGGAGGATCATAAGCAGAACATTGATAATCAGGAAACAAATAGCACGAACCATATGACTAACAGTACACATGACACTGATATGAATGATACGACGAAAAAGTATCAGGAATCTAATGCTGGTAGTAACATCACCATTAATGTTATGAATGTTTAGGGTAATAATAGTACTACGATTCTGGATCATATAGTCATAATGCTATTGAAGATGTTAATCGCGCAATTAAGACACATGAGAGTGTACTAATCGTACAACTAACAGTAATCACACTATTTGAATTAATAGCAATAGTATCAACAACAGCCATCATACTCATAATGCTAAAAGAACAAGCGTAACATCTCTAGTAATAAGAAGATAAGGTGGTTGACGAGGAGGAGGATGAGGAGGAGGAATAGGAGTATGAAGAGGGGGAGCGGAGGAGGAGGAGGAGGAGGAGGAGGAAAAGGAGGAAGAGGAGGAAGAGGAGGAGGACGAGGAGGACGAGGAGGACGAGGAGGAGGAGGAGGACGAGGAGGAGGAGGAGGAGGAGGAGGAGGATCCCGCTGGCCTTCTACCTAGCCCCGCTCCGTGTGTCTCTGTCGGGGGTCGTCAAGTGTATTCCTGCGCTAATCCTGGCCGTGCGGGTCCTGGGCCCAGGAGGTTGCGCACGCCCTCCCCGCCACGTCAGGAGGGCGCATGCGCCGATCCGGGGCCCACCCTGGCATCCGACGTCGCGAAACAAGTGCAACATCGTGATAATCACGACCAGAGCCCTGGACCCCTTGCTGCCGCGGCATTCCTGGAGCAGGATCGAGCTGCGCAGGCCCCGGAGCCCAAACTGGGGCGAGAACGCCCAGTGCGAACAGAAATATGACTCCAGGAGCTCAGGGCAGCATGGGCCCGGCCAGGATCGGAGTACAAGTGTGCAGATGGCCCCCTTCGGTCCCTGGCCCACCGATCCGATGCCCTGGTTTTTCAGTACGGGGTCCCCAGAGGTCTGGTCCCCTTCTCTGGCGCCGGCTTTCCATCGGCGAGGGCCCCCAGAGGCCGAAGGCGGCGAAAAAAACCCGCCTTACTGCTCCGACGTTGTGACACCTGCAGCACCAGGAAAAATACGGCCCGAGCCCTACGCCTCCGCTTTCTGCGGCATCTCTCGAGCCCGATCGATCTGTGCTGATCCCAGGGGCTGGCATTCAGTCGGCCATATCCCTCTATAG